CTAACGTTTTGTACGTCAAACCTAATTTAGGACCGACTTAGTGAAATACAAGCCTCCACTGTGAAAAACTACTCTACAACATTTATTTTTAGGTCAGCAGAAATTTGCCTCCAAAATGCTCAATAGATAACTATAGATTCAATATTCATTTAGTCAATAAATATTCAACAAATTTATCTCATTTTGAATTGAATATTTTGATTGCTTCTAAATATTTGAATATTATGTTTTTCATTGAACAGAGTAGAAATTTGAAACTTATGATTAGCATTTGTTTCCTCTCAGTATATTATGTTTAAATTTTTTAAAACCTCATTTTCGTGTTCAAAATTGTGCTCCTGATGATTTCAGTGGCACTTAATGAACTTAAGTGTTTTCTGTATGATATGTAATAACAATAATTTAATAGATTTATCAGACTATCTGACCCTGATGTGTGGTATCATGGGAAACTCGAGAGTCTGCTAAATGAGATAGGTTCATTCAACATTTATTGTTATATATATATATATATATATTTATTAAATATAAATACCTTTAGCAACTTAACAGCATATTTTTATATTAGCATTGCCTATCTGAATGTATGTATTAAAGAATAGAGGCAGGTAATATATCCACACATATATATATATATATATATATATATATATATATATATATATATATATATATTTTTTTACATATAGAAAAAATCATCTTTAAATTTAAAATTCCTAGCATTGCTCATTTGACAGCATGTGTAGTCACATCAGCATGAATATAAACATAGTCTCATGAAGTACTTAAGGACAAAACACATCACACAAAACCTGTTCCACTTTGTCATTCATCTTTCCCCTATATATATAACATAATATATGTGTGTGTTATTAATTATGTTATTTTTAGTGGATACACAACCTTTAAGTAACAAAATATGTTGGATTAATAAATGAAAAATCCATGTTTATATAAATAATATATGTGTGTGTGTGTGGATTTGAGAGGATGATAAAGGTTTCTTAGATCAATCCAGAAAGAATTCCAATATTATTATGAGTTGGTTGTTTAATGCAAAGTCTTTGTAAATGGGCTGTGCTATGTACTTTTCACCATTCCTTCATATATATGCATTCACAAATATATTTATATATATTTGTTTTTCAAATATATATATATATATATATATATATATATATATGTGTGTGTGTGTGTATGTATGTTTGTATAATAGCACACAGTAAGGGCTGATGACAATAAAACCTCTGCTCGATGTAAAACAACAAAGCTCAAACTTATAATAGTAATAAATATACATTTGTTCCTCATCATTTAGTTCACCTCTGAGTTTCATGCATTGTGGCAATTGTCAAGCACTCAGATTTGCACTGAATGGTAAGAGCAAATGAATATTTATTTTATATATATATATATATATATATGATAAATAATTTGTAAAACCTCTGCTTTGACATGTTTAATCAACAAGCAGACATCACAAAGAATTTTCTTATGGGGTGAAATAGCTATCCAAATGGGGTCATTTTGAATTTCTATCCTTTGTAATTTATTTATTTGTATATGCACTGTTATGATATAACATTGCTAAATAGATTTATCAGACTATCTGACCCTGATGTGTGGTATCATGGGAAACTCAAGAGTCTGCTAAATGAGATAGGTTCATTCAACATTTATTGTTATATATATATATATATATATATATATATATATATATATTATTAAATACAAATACCTTAGCAACATAACAGCACATTTTTATATTAGCATTGCCTATCTGAATGTATGTATTAAAGAATAGTGGCAGGTAATATTAAGGACAAAACCCATCAGGGTCAGATAGTCTGATAAATCTATTAATACATACATTCAGATACATTGGGCTTTCTTTGTGGTTCAGTTTTAATATTTTTTTATATTATCAGGATTCACTTGGATTATATACCAATGGGTTATTAACTGTATATATATTTGTGTGCATGAGAAAGCCTATTAGTTGACCAAAAGTAAAAAACAAAAAAATAAATAACTAACAACAAAAAAAATCAAGACAACCTATACAAGTAAAAGTAAAAGAAAATCAATTAACCAAGAAAAAAGACCTAAAGGCTGACAACTTTGTAACCTGTAACCAAATGTGCTTTTTTTTTTAAATAAATTTCACCCCATGCAAGGCAGTAAAGCCACTAAGGCTACTGGATGTAGAAGAATTAGAAACAGAAAATTACTGCCCAGTTCAGTGGTTCCCAAACAGATTGACGCACCTCATAGGTGCAGCAGAAGAGGATATCAAATGAGGTGAAATGATTGAAAGGCAATCAAAGATTTAGAAACAGTTTCAAACAATTCATATGCCAAAAATAAATATGATTTCAAAATTGAAAATATTATTATGGATTACTTGCAATGACATGCATGAGTCCCAGTATAAATAGTTATAAATAATTATTGACCAATTTTATTATTGTGAGTTTTACATTACATCAAGTATTAAGAATATAGTAACTAGGGTCTGCAAATTGAAGGAGAGAGTTATCAATGATAATGCTCTGACTTTAAATCCACAATTATCTCCCTTTAACTCTGTTTTTATTTTAAAATTTCCTTTTTGTCCTATAATATTTGAGGTGAGAACAAATTTTTCACCCAGAGGAAAAAGTTTGGGAACTATTGGCTTAGGTTATTAAAACAGAGCAAATATATAACAAATGAATTAAATAAAACTTAGGTTGTTTATTGAAAAAACAGTATCAGATATAGAGCCTGTACAAAGTCAAATATATACAGCAAATTTCTATTCATGACAATTCAGTGATCAGGTACAAAACTTTATTTCTGTATCTGATAATTGAATTGTCCTTATATATAGATAGTGTCAACATAAGAATCAACACTGTCATCATCTACTGTTTCTCTGTATCTGTCCTGGGCACACTTTTCTGTAAATATAGAACATTTTTAACCATATATATTTAATTTAAAGTTTACAAAAGTTCCTAGTTTTGGAGGAAATGTGTACCAATTTCTATACCAGTTTTTTTGTGAATGCAATAATTGGAATTTCTCATTTCAACTTCATTATGCTGCAAATTGTTAGGCATTAACTGTAATTTAATATTAAAGAGAAAGATTACAAGAATTTTTGGACAAAAATAAAAAGATCATGCTGGTGTAGGCATTATCTTTTTTGTGTGCTGATAATTATATGCATTTTGATTTTAAATTAATTATTGATTCTTTTGGAATTCTCAAGAAACGTCTCCTTGACAATTAAAATTGCAGTAAAACAGTATTTTGTCATGAATGAAATTTAGGCAATTTGCTTGTCAAACGTTCATCTAAAACATTCCACATTGTGTTTTTTAATTATTTTTTCCGATAATATTTTTTTCTTTCAGTTATTTTCCTTCGTAATGATATCTGAAGTAATTTATATAAGAAATTGATGCATGAATCGTGGAGTGGTTATTGGTATAGTGAGTGAAATCAGCATACCAGGTTCAATTACTGGTCAATTCTGTTTCGTTCTCTTTTCCACAAATGCCCTTGAAAATTGTATTTGATGTATGATGGTCAAGCAGCTCAGTTCCTAGGAATCGGCAGCCCAGGCAGCAGCACATATGATTTAATTTTAGTGGTGAAGGCTTTGTGTAGAACAAAACACACTTTTTGAAGTGCCGAATACAGAGACCTAGTGCATTACGTGCCACAAGGTCTCCAAACGACCATCCACAGGTTTTGAATTCAGATTTGTCCTTCTCCTAGACCAGTTGCCATCCAAGGCTATAGAACCCAGTCTGTCCTGCTATTTACTCAGTGCTGGGTGGGGAAGAAGGAGGTTAATACCTTTCCTAAGTGTATTAGCACATAAGTGAATGTAATGGATTTGACTGGAATTCGAATTTCACTCTCTGATTCCTTATACCGAATCACTATCCACTAATCCACCATGCCTCCTCATGGATATATGATATCATCAGATATACGCGATATATTATTTTGTATGTGAACACATGTATATATAGTTTGTGTCTGTCTTAGCAGTATAAAAACCTCTCTGAGAAGAAATCATGCTTGTCATTACTTTTCTAAAACACTTTTCTAAAAGTTAATGTTGTCTACCAATTCTCTTGTCCCTAGGATGAATTTGTCTTTGTTAATAATAAAAATTAGACATCTATTAGTCATATAATTATATTTCTGGGAAATATTTGAATATTGCTGGAACCTCTGGTCTGGTGCACCTGCTATATATTTAGAGATTCTTGATAAAATCCCAAGAAGAATCAGTAATCATATTAGTCCTGACCTGGCATCTCATCTTCAATCCATTTCCCACTGTCATAACAGCTTCCCTCTGCTTTTTCTATAAATACTTTCATAGTAATTGTTTCAATGAAGTTCTGGTTCTCGCATGTCAAACTCTCTTCTAGCTTCTTGCTTTCCAATCAAGTGTGACCTTCAAAATTTAAATGCAATATCTTTTATCTTGTCTTTTTTAATTTTTGTTCTTTTATTGTCTTCTCTCCTTAAATGTATTTTTTCTGACATTCTCTAACATTCACTAACCCCTTTTGTTCTACTGGCTTTATTGCTTGGGATAAAATGATTAAAAAAATGGGATGTCGCTGGCCAACAACATTCAGGCAATGAGTATTAAATAACCAGTGTGAATTCTATTCAATAATGTGATCCATCAGTCTAGCTCATTAACCATTACTCTGTGACTATGTGCTACCTTTTGTATAATTCCAAAGTTTATACCATGATTATTTTAAACCCAATGAGGATGCTATTCAATAATGTGATCTATGAGACTAGATCATAAAGTGTTTCTCTATGACTACATGCCAATTTTGTTTTAGCTTACTATGACATAAGGCTACAATGAATGAACTCAAAACAGTCATAATATTAGAAATTATTATGACTAGTTTGTTAACTATTACTTTATTTCATGTATGTATATATATATATATTATTTTTTTTTTTTGCAGTGTTCCATCAAAGACTCTCGATCTCTGCCAGACAATGTGCTAACATTCATCAAGAACACCCCGCTAATGCACTTGTCTCTGCCTCACATGTACTCCACACCTATCTACCACAAAGCAAATGTTATGATGCAGAAATTGGTGGTAGCCTTCAATGTATCAGGACATGGAGATACAGTATTCTTTACTGCAAGTAGTAAGTATTCATTCACACTCTTTTCATATTTATTTGTATTTGTTTAAACTTTGATAAAACGAAGCCTAAACACTATATGAATGGAAAAGTCATTTTTTTTTCAAGTAGATTTCAAATGCCAAATTTAGATTAAAGCTTGTGTTAGCATATTACACTATTTATTAACATATGGCTAAATATTTGATTCTTATTTTAACCATATTGTTACTAATTTCAACTATGTATTTATGTATTCAATTTATGTATTCCATGTTGTTTTTGTATTACCATCATTTTTCAAAAATGACACACACCCCAACAAATGATCCAAAAATTAATATATCAATCCCTATATATAATACGCATCTATAAATTTTGTCAAAAAAAAAAAAAAAAAATTACTAAGACATTTTGTCAACCTTGACATTGAGAATAAAATCAAAGCTAAGTGGCTAAAATAATGTTGAAAATTACCAAACAGTTTTCTTGTTAAATATAACATCTTATTTTACCACCAAAATGTCATCAATACATGTGAGTTATAGTGAAAATTATTTTAAAAAAGTAATAGAATTAGCAGAAAGAATAGGTAACAGAGTTGCAAATAGAGAAATAAAAAAAAATGTGGATGTTTTGTGGTGTTCCTAGTTTCATTACTGGTGGTAACAGGAAAAAACGTGTTGGAATTTATTGTAAAATGGATTCAGGAATCTTGGTATTCCATCATTGAGGATGTCCTAAAGAGAGGTTTCAAGAAGTGTTGGACCATGACAACCATTAATGGCTCTGAAGATGACATCCTTTGGCAAGTGAAAGAAGAAGCCAAAGATAATTTTGAACAGGATGAAGTTAATATTGTGAACGATAATTTGTTTATTGATAATTTAGATATTGAATCTATGATAGAAAGTGATGATGATGATGATGATATAAATTTAAATTTCAATAAATTGTTAACTTGATATCCTCTTTTCTTCAAAATTGGCCTTTCTACTATCACCTGTAATTTACAGTAAAAAAAAAAGTGTATTATTTTCAAGAAATTACGGTAATTTATTACCCAGTCTTTAATAAAGGTGTACTGAAACTACGTGGAATATGTAAATGATTAAAAAATATTAACTGAAATTATTTATAATCTAATATCTATATATGTCAGCAGCAAGAATCAGAATCATCGTTGTCTCTCCTTATTCCCTTTCTCTATCCCCCTGTAAAGACCCAGCCCACTCTTGAAGAGTCATGAGCAGGAGTCACAGGAATGTATGTAGTGGGCATGAATGGGCGAGTTTGGCTCTACTTAGCATGTCACAGACCCTCTTCATGTTGATGGTTGGACTAAAAAGTCTTGGTTCTCCTCGAATTGTTTCTATGCCAGGAAGGCCGATTTGCAGCAATGGTTTCCCAGGTCTCATGGGCAATATTGGCCTGTGACAGGGATGTTTTCAACTGATCCTTGAAGCATTGTTTCTTTTTTGGACTCTGATACAGTTAAAGTAAAATGCAAGCATTCAGCCACTTAACATGAATCGTATTTCATCTGGCCAGTATATATTTGTCATTGTTAAATAAAACTATTTTTCAGAACACAGGGAAAGTAGAGTAATAGAATAACAACACCTATTAATATACATCATATGTCAAAGGGAACAGAATTTTTCCCAAAAAGTGCTTAAAAGAAAAATATAGCTTGTATAAAAATATTGAACATTTATGATAATTATTAAACATCAACTTTGTCTTGTGATACTTCACTCTTCAAGACCTGAATAAACCCTATATTATAATGGACTGATGATTGCATTTAAGCATGAAACTCTCACCACTGTGTATTGACCTTAATGTCCACTATATATATATATATATATATATATATATATATATATTATAAATTAATTGATTTAAAATATGGTTTTTCTGCTACACAGTTCTAACCATATTTCAAAAATGGAAGGTCCAAATTTAATTTTGTAATTAAATTAAAGACATTAGTTCCATTTCATCCTCAAGCGAATTTTGGTAAATTTACATTGAGCACTATTTTGTAAAAATAAAAATATCTATAGGAACACCGGATTATATATCTTACTGTTCTTTCTTTTTATTTATATATACATATATATCTTCACTACACAGTTCTAACTATGTTTCAAAATGGAAGTTAAAAAGCTTCAATTTTGTAATTAAAGACATTAGTTCTATATATATATATATATATATATATATATACATATATATATTCTGAAGATTACCTGAGACATGTAACATTGACCATATAGTGTTGATTCTTATGTATATAGTCTATATCAATAAACTGATATTGAACATGCTTCTTCCTTGATTATGGCAAATCAGTATTTTAATTAGCAAACATCAGAACCTGTATACTAATTTTGTGAATTATATGTATTTTACACTATTTACATTATTCAGACTATTGTCCTCATCTTTGTCGCCATATTTATTATGTTTCGGCCGTTGTGTGCTCAGGCCTTGAACTGTGCCATTTGTCCTCAAGGATATCAAAATACTTTTACAAACTTTTAGGGTGCATTCCTCACACCAAAACAAAGACAAAATCTACATAAATATATGTCCACAAATGTTTTTTTTAGTTAAGTTTAGAGTTTGCAGTAGATGCTATTAAATGTCGATTACCATTCGTGTGGCCATGTGTAAAAATCATATCTACTTGCTCATGATATGAATATGCTGTTATTGTTAAATGGAACACCTTTCAGTTAACTCATTACTACACATGTCATGCTTTGAAGACAGACTACTAGTCACAAACGTAGACAGATGTAACTTCATCTACATGGAAACACAGTGCCATCTACCATAAACTTTAATCTTTCTTCAAACTTAATAACTCAAAAGTGAACGATTTGCAGACATATGTTTATATGAACATTTTTCCTTATTTTGGTGCAGGGAACCCACCCCAAAAATCTGTAAAAGTATTTTTCATACACTGTATATGTATTCTTAGAACTGTATCCATATGAAACTATAGACACACACACACATTATATATATATATATATATATATATATATATATGTGTGTGTGTGTGTGAAAACTAAAATAATGAAGAAAATTGATCTAATGAGAAAACAAATACTTCTGATTTTTAATTTTTTACAAATATAGATCGCAAATGAAAAGAATTTCTATTAACCAAATTTAAGCATGGTTGGTGGTGGGTGATTCTGGAATGTGAATTGATTGGTGTAGGATTTGAATCTGGTGTAGGAGCAATTGATTAGTGTAGACTGAAAACAGTTCAAAAACAAAAACTAGACATTTGTTATTCTTTTCTAAATTTTTTAAAAGTAAAAATAGTCAAAATGACACTTTAGAGATTGCTTCCGTTTTCTAAATTGAAATAGAATATGAATTATATATAGTAAGCAAGGTAGATAGGTAAATGTATCAGAATATATGTAAATGTCTATAAGATACGGGGAATGCAAAAATAGGTATACAGTTAGTATTATTCCAATATTGATATGTTTGTATAGTCAATACATTACGTTTTGTGCACATTTTGTTTGCCTTATTGCATACCTACTTTTGCCTCACTCTCTATACTTTAATGTGCATACACAAGCATCAGGAATAGTGGATAGCAACTCAGATTGAGGAATTGGAGAGCCGAGTTCAAATTCCAGTTGAATTCATTACATTCACTTACGTGCTAAGTACCCTTGGGAATGGTGTGAATCCTCTTCTCCCTCCAGCTATGGGTAAATAGCAGGAGAGAGGGGGTTCTATAGCCTTGGATGGTAACTGGTCTAGGAGAAGGACAACTCTGAATTCAAAACTTGTGGAGGGTCATTTGGGAACCTTGTAGCAATTAGTGAACCAGGTCTCTGTATTCGGCCCTTCAAAAAGTGTGGATGGTTCTGCACGAAACCTTCACCACTATCGTCAAATCATATGTGCTGGTGTCTGGGCTGTCAATTCCTAGGAACTGAGCTGCTTGACCCTCATATATCGAATATGATGGGAGAGTCCACCATTAATATATGCATTGGTATGTTGGTAATCAACTGGTGACTGAGTACGACCACGTCATAACCTCAATCCAAGTTTAGAAAATGCTTATGTCTGATGAAACCTCATATGGCTCATTGGACCAGCACAAGACTTGCATGTCACACTACATATTTGCTTTCTGGATGCTGACCTCTATACTGCCATGTAAGTCCACTGGCTGGTCTGCACCCTTTGTTATCGAGACTGCAGATAAAATTGTCTAACACGTCACAGTAAACAAACTTTCTTAGCAGCCGACCTAGCAATGGATTCAATATAGTCTTTCCACTTCTTGTCAGCCGAGAATGTAAGTCTGAGAAGATGCAATGAGTCACTCTCATGGAAGTTACTATCAGCCATGATCATGGGAAGCAGGAAGAGGTCTCTCAGGTAACAGAGAGAAGTTTCATTTTGGGGGTGTTAAAATTAACAAGTCACCCTTGCTCCAGTTAACAACAGGTCAAAGGTCATTGTTGAGATCAGCTGCCAACTTGACCGTATTGAACTGATCAGTCTTACTATTAAGACAACAGTAAATGGTTGTGCCCTAAGCATATATACCAAGTTGAGAACTGATTTTGTCATGAAGTTCATTTAAAACCAAAGACAAAAGGGGTCAAAATAGACAAAACAAGGGAAATCAGTAAATGTTGACTGGGCAGAAGTAAAAATAAAGTCACCCACAAACAGTAAAGGTTGCAAGTTGGCCCCAGGAGAAATTTTTGGTTAATCATTTCATTCTAAGTAAGGCAATAAAGCCACTAAGACAGTGAACTACTAAGAGTGAAAGAAACTGAGAAAAACATTATTGAGGAGAAAGGACAATAACAATAAAACAATAGGATTCAAGAAAACTAATGATGACAACTGACATTGCATTTAAATTTTTAAAGATTGTTGTTGGCAAGAAGTCAGAAGTGAATATAAAATTTGCAAATGTGTAACACTAAATGGTGACAATAATGAGAAAATAAATTTGTAATTTTGAAGAGAAATAAATTTACTTCATTTTGATACCATTTTTTATTATTGTATGCAATCTAATTTTTTATCATAGTTGAGAGCTTACTTACTAATTAACCATTGAAATGTATTGAAGACTTTTCTCATTGACTGTTGTACAGAGGAAACTAATGAGATATAATTCTGAGGCAAATAATGCAGCTGTTTTTGTGGCATATATTAAATACTTAATTTCCTCATTACACACACACACACATATAAATATATATATATATATATATATATATATATATATATATATATATATGTGTATATATATATATATATATATATATATGTATGTATGTGAATTAAATAAATATAGATATAAACAACCATATATACTTGCAGTCACACACATATATAAATTTGCAAATAAATATTTTATTTTTGGTGTTAACAAAACAGTGCATAATGTGGTATTACAGAGCTATAAAGTCATGTCATAAATCGGAAAGGTTGACACACACATAGAAAGTAAGTAGTAGTTTTTTCTGGAGAATATTATGGCCCACATTTGAGAACACAGACTAATATAATACATATAATAATAATATATATAATAAATAAAACAGGTAATCATTAACTGATCTCCCTCAGTAAGAGAGAGTGCTGTTTAAATAGTCTTAGCCCAGTCCATCTTGTGGTGGTGTTCAGCTACTCCACAACAAAATTACATATCAATAAATATTCATTACCATACATAGAAAAGTATGACTGAGTTTTATCTTATATATAAAGGACAGTGTATCTGTGTTTGTGCATTTGTACTCCCAAGCAACCCCTCCACACCACTGGTTCCATTTTAATGATTCATAGCTCATTCAAAATCCCTAGAAAAGTTAGGCACAGGGAACAATTTTTGTCAAGCTCAGATTCTGGGTTGTTAGATCATGTGGGGGTTAAAAATACATATTAATATTACATATTAATATATTATACTAGCCATTATCATTGTTTTCATGTTTCAAGGGGAGTAACTCGTATTTTCCTTTTGTATCCAAAATTGCAGTGCATGTTTTATTATAGACTAGCTTAAAAGCCGCCCTATCGGGTGGCATTTAAGCTAACTCCTGGGGAGGAATCTTGGTTTGGCCATCATCACAATAGCTAGTTGGGGAGTAGATGTGAAGAACATGAATAAACTACAGAACTTGAAATTGAAGGCTGCATTTAAGTATTGAATTAATGTTTAAGCTTACCTTTTAAAAGTTCAACGATAATTCTTCCACTACCGTTGAGTTTAAAGACAACAGATGTATGTAGATCCTTATTTTCCATACAAAGAATTATTTTTATTTCATGGTGACATAACAGGGAACAATTTATAATATAAAATTAATATATCGTAAAGATGGGAAAATAGAAATTAGAATTAGTTATACCTTCAACATTTGAAGAGTTAGAGAAACATAATAGCTAATTAAGTAAAACCTATATTATGGAATCTATATGAATAAATGCAAAATTGGAGCACAATTATCCAACAAATTCTGGGGTTATAAAAAATCCCTAACTCTGCTTTATAGTAATATATACACAGTATTAACTCCTTTCCCCCACTTGGATGAGATGTGACACAAGGTCTTTTTTAGGTGGGGACCCGAGCACGTACGCTCAGGATAAGGTCAAAAATTGCCCTCAGTCCCCACAACCGTCAGTTGCGCTGGCCTTGGTGCAAGCACCAACCCTCCCTCTGGTGCAATGGGAGGGCGTGGCCTTAGGCAGCTGTTCCCCAGGGCTGGGCACCTCTCAGTATTATTTTCTCAGTTGCCCCTCTGTCCTTTGACAGAGAAGCCCCTGAGCACACTCTGCCCAAAGACAGAGACACAACTGAGAGATGATAAGCCTGCACTGAAAATCCCTCCAAGGAGGAATTTGTATGCATATACTAGAAGTTTCAATATCTGTATTACATATTATTTACTTCTAGGTGATATCACTCTTCAGGTTTAACTAATTTGCATATTGATTCTAAAAAAAAGTATATTTCATTAATGTTCTTTTATGTAAGGATTGTTTTGATTTTCATACCAAAAGTAGTTATGTTTAGGAATATTGTCTTATATAGTGCAGAAAAGTGTTTGAAATTTACATTTTACTTGGCCTTCAACAAGTTGGCATCTATTTGTAAAACTTTCCTTAATTATAACTAGCAAATTTATGAATAAAATGTTCATTTAAAATTTGTGTTTCAAATATTTCAACTAGTGAATATATCTCACTCATAATTCGAGATAATATTTTCCATCTGTAGAGCAACAAAATTCATATTTGCCATATAGATCCATTAGTATCAGAAGCATGTTTTATTTTTATTAAATGAAGCATCTTCAAACATTAATTTTTAACTAGTATTTATTTCCATCATTATTTTTGTTGAGATAAGGCATTGTTAACCATTATTATCAATTTCTTTACTATTATTTACTCTTAGTTTTTTAGATAAAGAATTGCAAGCAATTATTCATTTTTGAATAGTAGTAACTTTCATCTTTTTTTTTTATTATTTAGAGGTGAAGTGGTTACAACCATTATTAATTTTTGACCCAAATTGACATTCAGCTTTTTTATTAGATGGAGCATTTCCATCATACATTTTTCTTTTTTATTAGGCAAAGTATTGCCAAGCATTATTATTCATTTGAGTAACTTCCTTGTTTATTTTACAAATGAGAAAAATTGAACAAAATTGAAAAATATTACTGCTCCTGCTAAAACTATGTATGTAACAATAAAAAAATATAGTACTGACAATGATTGTGGAATAGAGTGAAAAGTTATAGGTTAGACTTGATCTTCTGAAAAAGAACTGTTCTCATAGCTTTATGCTTAAAGCAGTCAGGTATTCGTCAGGCTTCTTTTAGGCAAGTGTCTCCCAAATTTTTATCTGGACCAAAAGATTTGTTCACGCCTCATCAGATTCTATATGATAAAATGTACATTTAAAAATAAAAAAAAGAGTGGGTTGAAGGGAGATAACTGCCTGAACATTATCATTGATAACTCTTCTCCAATGTGTGGACCTCCAGTTACTATATTCTTAATATTTGATATGATGCAAAATTATCACAATCAATGAAAATCCATTAATGATTATTTATAACTATTTATACTGGAACTCATGCATGCAATTTCAAATAATCCATAATAATGTGTCTATATTTCTGAGGCGTTGGTTAGATCCAGTGACAGACCCAAAGAGTGTGAGTTCAATACCCGGTTAAGGCAGTGGAGAACTTTCAGAGGGAAAATTAGCAGGAGATAACTGATAACTGACATCCATCAAACATGGCACATGGAACTAGAACAGTCTACCCCAGTGATCGAAATAAAGGGTTCAGTTCGAAATTCCAACCACCTGAAGAAGGCTGGAGCTTACAACGGCCGAAACGTTGTGACAAATATGGCGACAAAGATGAGGACAATAGTCCGACTAATGTAAATACTATCCATAATAATGTATTAAATTCTGAAATCACATTTATTTTTGGCATATGAATTTTTTGAAACTGATTCTAAATTTTTGTCTTTCAATCATTCCACCATACCATTTGGGAATCACTGTTTTAGATAAATTGGTCCTGAGTTTGAATCTTATTTCAATAATACACTATCGAATCACTGTTGGAAGTTTAACAGATCAAGTTGTGATAACAAGCAAATCAAAAATTTAAGATGAAAATAAATAGTTGTCAAATATAATAATAATAATGCTTTGCAATATTTCATCTGATAAAAGATAAAACGAAAATTACACTAAATTTAAATTACCTCAAACACTTTCTAATGAACAGTTGAGTCAGAACAATCACTTTCATATCAACAATTGTTGTATTTGATTTGAAGGACTCAGTTAACTGCAACTGAGTCCACCTTGAATATCCTAGGAATTTTTTTTTTTTTAAACTGAAGGTCACTAAATGCTCCATGGTATAGGGTTACTGAATAAGGCATGTGACCTAAATAAAATAGTAAAAGGTGAAGATTATGAGGATATGGGAGATAGATAAAGATTGACCCAGCACGTGAAGAAATCACAATTGTTGCATTTGGGAAAACATCAATGAAGGAGTCTGCTACACAAAACAGTAGTTTTGGGAGAGAAAAAAAGTTGAATAAATGGAATATGGAGAGAATGAGGGTGGTTTGACTTAATGGAAATAATATGGCAGGTCTTAGCTGTAAAAATTTGAACTAGTGGAACTAAAGAATAGAGCTTGTCAAGATATTTACCATAAATATAATATCAGTGTATTGACATGCTTATGATGTTGCATCTGTGGGAAAGAGACTGCAGAGGATGCATAAATGATTTTGAAAACTGCCAAGACTGAGAAGTGAGATTTGGGCAGTTTCAGCTAGGTATGGCAGCAATACACCATTTTTTGGTCAAATCCAGCACTTCTAAAGATAGAGCATGGCAAAAGAAACCAGGTACTTTCTTTGGTAGTACAATGAGCTGATCATTCTGAAATGTCTTTGACCTCGTGAGTTATGTATTGACCACTTTGGTGTCCCTGATCTATGTATACTGACAGTGTAAAAGACAAACTTTATTTGCCAGATATCAATTAATTTCACATAAAAGGAAATCTTTTTTTTTAGCATAACTTGTGCATTTATATGATATATAGTTTTGAAAATTACTTACTTAAAAGAAAAATTTTTTGAAAAATATGAAAATATGCAAACTCCCTACTAAAATATTGATATGGGAAAATAGTCATATTGTGTGAAAAGTGTCAAGTACATATTGCATTTTATTATAAAATTGCTCAAACCACTTAGATTTTTTGCTTTGCTTTTATTTTTTTCCAGATCAAGGAAAGGTTTACAAAATATTTCAGCGACCAATCAGGAATAACCAGCCACCATCTTCAGTGTTATCATCAGTTTATACTCCATTTCCAGATACCCAGCCAATTTGGAGCCTAAAACTTCATGTAAGTAAATTTCCCAGAAGATTCTACTTTAGCCATAACCAAAGGCAGTTCCCATAATGCAACAGGAAAAAAAAAACGTAAAAATATTGCATTTCCTTAAATGTGTGCTTATTTCAATAAATGTTTCTCTGATTGGGATTGTTTTTAGCTTGGCAGGAAATATTTTTATATGCTTTTATCTTTTTTATTCTTTTGCTCATATTGAAAAATTTCAATTTTCTCTTCTGTACATATTTGGGAGAATATGAAGGAATTTTCTTTTGTTTTGAATTTGTAGAAAAAGCAATTTCTACTTTACTCTTTTGGGGAGAAAAACATCCCATCTTTAGGTTGTGTAAGCACATCTTTGTATATAGCCTCTTTCTCTTTATAAAAACTTACTTATCAGTGCATGTAATGCCTTTTTTATGTATATTGCTTTGTTACAGTTTTATTTGTCAAACATTCAATCTATTATATATATATATATATGTTATAGATTGCTTATCAATCAGTTAAATACTGCAGCAGTCTCTGATATTTTATCTTTCTTCATTGTCTTTTCTCTTCATATCTTTCAAGCTTATGCTTCATTTAGATATATATACAAAAGTTATTTTCTTTCATTTTTGCATCTGGAAGAGAGTCAAAATTTTTTGGAACACATTTTGAGGAAAGAGGGTTGACAGAATTTGAAACTTACAGAAAATAATGAAAGTAAAAAAGACAAAGGAAAAACCATGAATAACCTAATAATAAGCTTGTGTAAATGTCTGGTACAACAGGAAGTGGGAAGTATAGTTATATATATATATATATAAGAGCTACAAAGGATAGGAAGATGTGGAGAGCCGATATCAACCATGTCATTAATGAACATCACACATAAAAAAGTGAAAGACCTTTATCATTGGCATTATTTTTTTTTTCTTCAGGTGAAATTTGTCTTGTAAAATGTTCTTGGTTTAGTTCTGCTAATTGTTAAATGTCCAAGACAAAATTTAACATTTTAGTAAAAGCATTCTATGACATGTTGGCAGTAAACTGGATTATAAAATGAGCCATTAACAAAAAATTGGGAAAAATTCACCTGAAGCATGTGAGAGAATTCAGTGGCTAAAAAGTATTAAGAGAAAAAACAATTGGATAAAAATAACTCATTTCAAATTTTATAACAAAAATATTTTGGTTTCCAAAAATATATACTTTCTATTTTAAATAGAAAATATATCTATGTATTCTGCTTCAAATAGCATGCATATATATATATATATATATATATATATACACACACACACCAGGTGTAGCAGCAAAATTGTCGATTTGTTAGATTAAGTTTGAACCCTTGTATCTTAGAAATGATTAAAGCTATCTTACTGGAATTCTCCTGGGTTTTTATAACACTATTGGGCTCTACTTTGAGCAATAAGGATGTATAATTACTCTACAAGCTTAACAAGAATCGCGATGAAATTGATCATAAATGAAAATGAAATGTTCATCATTAATTAATCATAGCAAAGGGTCAGATGCTCACGAAGGATTGAAATAAAATTCATATATTATTCCAGGATCATTTTCCAAATTATTCAAGATGATCTTTGCCCTCTTTAAGCTTCTATCTGTCCTGGAGTAACAAGTTGTCTCACAGGTTTCATGAGAAATTTCATTTTCAAATCTTTTTTCACTGCACTTTGGACTGCCATAGTTGAAACTCCTCTCTCACATGTCAAATGTCTTATGGAGTGAGTTGGATCTTTTCTAATTGATCTCTTTAGCTCTAAGTTGAAATGATTATCCCTTCTTGCTGTTGTGATGCCTTGATTCTGTTTTTCTTTCTACTCTTCCCTCTTGTTTAAACTTATTCACTGTTCTGTTGATGGTTCATGAATGGACTTTGAAAATAGAAGCCAGTGTATGAACGTTGGTACCATTATGGAAGACCTGAATAATCTTTTTACTGTCATCGTTGCTCAGTTGGGAAGACAGTGGGGCTGACACAAAACAATATTGACCTGTTCTTTTTCTAGCTGAGTAACTCAAAGGGTTTTATGACAAATGGTGCTAAGATGGCTAAATGTCTTATCTGAAAACCTGGAAAAAAGAAATTAGTTTAGTGTTTTTTTTTTTTTTTTAGATATTAAACATTTTATGTGATAGTCAATGAGGCTGTTACTTGATTTGGACAATTTTGCTGTTACACTTTTGTGTGTGTGTATATATATATATATATATATATATATATATTTATTTGTTGGATAGATGTGAGTTTGTTTACCTGGGTTTCATCGTCAATCGCAGTGCCGTAAAGCCCAGGGTCACAAACTCACATCTATCCAACCAAATATGTTAGCTCTATCTCTGATATCGAGCGGATTCTAATAAGTACCACGTACCACGCTTATTATATATATATATATATATATATATACACACTTTTTCACACACATTATATATATCTAGTTGGCTTTATTTTGTATCCAACAATTTCTTCTTTTCTGATCACCTCCTTTATGCAGATGGCATTGCTGACTTTTCTGATCACCTCCTTTATGCAGATGGCATTGCTGACTAAGTTGACAAATTCTTGCATCAAAGAGCTGATGGCATTGACTGCATGGTAACGTTGGTGGATGAAGCCGACTCTGTCAAGCCTTTCTCTCTTGTCGTTTGATTTCTTCCAGTGGTTTCTAAGTTTTTGGTTCTGATAGTGATGAAACACTGCCAGTAGGTATGTTCTCATGGCTTGTGTTTCAAATGATTTAGACAAGTCCAGTAAGTTTCAGTGTAATTTTGAGTTAGTATCTTCGAAGAGGGCAACCCCAGGGACTTTTCCATGAAGTGACACATGTATATATAATTTGTAAGTCTGATGAATTCAATCGTGATTATGATTCCAATGTAATAAATTATAACCATGGAATATTAGTGTTTTATATCATATTCTTTCTCTATTCTGAACATTGAGCTCTACCTAGGTTTATTTACTTTGCTCTACTTAGCATATTGAGCACTTTGCTTAGTTATTTTACTTTACTTGTGTTGGAGGGTTTTTTCTTTAGACTCTGAACTTAGATTCTAGACAATAATTTTCGCCGGAAGTACATGTTCTTAGTTCTTTCTTTTTTTTTACCCTTTTTTCCCTTTTTGGTATTGGTTTGTTCATTTCTAGCTAAAACACCCAAGGTTTTACCGGATGATAGTATAGCTGCTTATATTTACAAGATTATTAGTGTTATATATATATATATATATATATATATATATATATTTATTGACCACTAATATTGTATGTGTGTATATATGAAATAGGCTATTTCCCTATATGAGGTGATTTTGAATTTTATTGTTTTTTATATATATATATATATATGGAATAGCCTATTTCAGCAGACAAAGATATTGGTCATCTATCTTATCATTACCAGTGTGGAATGAGTTCATGTCAGAAATAGAAATTTAACTGGGAAAGTTAAAAGAAATTTTTGCTCTGTAATAAATACATTGAGTTCTTTTTATGGATCAGTCTTAATATTTTATATTACTAGGATCCACTTGGATTATATACCAACAGATCTGTTACCTTTACTATATATAAAGGTAAAGTTTGTAAACATTACAAAGTGCTTATTGTAGGAATATGAAATGCACAAAATAAAGAGCTAATATAAAGAAAAAAGTTATATATATATATATATATATATATATATATATATATTTTAAATGAGATGACAGTTTCTATATTAAATGGAGACTATATATTTTCTATTTTGAATGGTTTGCTTTGGTTTGTTTTATGACATATCAACCTCAATGGGTTGTTTAATGCCAACAAAATTTTCCTTATTAGTAAGATTCTTTTTCCAAAAATCTATTTCTGGTAATATTCCTTCCTTCAAAAAATTCATTTCTGGTAATAATTTTCCTTCACTGGTAATATTTCTTTTTAAAAAATGTATTGATAGTAATATTTTTTGTTTCAAAAATATATTACTGGTAATAATTTTTTTAAAAAGTAGTTCTTGTATTAAAACCTATTTCTGTTAATATCCAAGAGTTAACCATCCTGGGTATGACGATAAACTACATCTGCGACCGGGTAAGATAATAAACTACGTCCAACAGCAAGGCCTCTGTTCAGGAGATTTTGAGGAGGATGGAACCACCTCTTAATTGCTGGTGTTCCTAGGTCCACCCTGACCAGGTGTGGTAGCACATGTTAGGGTCCCAACTATGGGTAAATAGCATCAAAACTGGGGTTAAAAGACTATGTAAGTGTAAAAATATGTTTTAAAACCAGAAATATTTTGTAAAAAAAAAAAAAAAAATATTACCAGCAATACATTTTTGTAAAAAAAAGGTTACCAGCTATACATCTTTGAAGAAAAAATATTACCAGAAATAAAAATTTTGTCGGCATTAAATAACCCATTGAGGTTAATATGCTGTAAAACAAACCAAATCAAGAGGTGAAATTTGAGGTACAGTCCTGAACACCAATCACTGAGCCAAAGAAACTAAATAAGGAGGATAATTTGTTCCAAGACTTACAGTTCTTTATCAATTATACGGACAAGAACATACTTTTTGGTATTGTTGTATCCTCCAGTGATTAATGCTCCCAGAACCAGTGGCAGTATTTTCACATAATTTTAACTAATATCCTGACTTTTTTTTGCTGAACTTTTTTTAAATAATAATCCTTTTGGCTAGTTTGACTTTCAAATTGTAGAAATTGAAAAAAAAATATATAGTCATTTTGTACATGGCTTGGATCTGCATTTTATAGTAAAATTATCAACAGTACATTTTTATAGTAAAATGACCAACAATATATTTTTATAGCAAAATGACAATACAACACTAAAAAAGTATAAATATACATTTTTATCGTAAAGTGGATAAAAATGTTGGTTGAGTCATTCAGAAAGTGACTTGACACAAATAGTTTTGAGTTCAATACTTGACCACAACAGAGAGAACAAAAAAAAATCTTGGAGAGTTGAGTTACAAAAGGAATT